TACACTTGTCTATGATAGTGTTGAACGAGTGCATCCTCTCTAGTCAGTTTCGGGAAAAGAAGTGCATTCCTTGTGATCTGCACACTTAACACCGTACCATTTGTGCATTTTCAGGCGGGTAGAGGAACGAATACCTCAATTAGGCACCGCCTTCGCGAATTACTAGTCCTAACAAGAGGTACTACAGTGAGGCGAGAGGACCAGCAGTCCGGAGACGGCGCTTAATTGAAGTATTCGTTCCCCTGCCCTTCCCAGGTGGATCTCAAAGCATCTTCAGGTAGACCCCATGACTTCGTACTCTCAACCGCTCATAGCTTTTTGTAGAGAAGCTCAGATATGGAAGGTGGTACCGGAAACAGCTCTTCAGTCGCATCTGATGACGTACATTGAATTCCAGTTCACTACTGCCACTTGGTTTCTTCCCTAGTGGGACCTCATAGGATTCCTACGTAGGAAGTCCATGTATCCAAAATTGTCTGAGCCCGTCTCTAGAAAAAAGTATGGATAGGAGACCTACCAATTTTCATCGGGCTCCTCTAACAGATTTATTACTGTTTTGACTGTGTCTCCAATGATAAGATCTCTGAAAATCGAATTCTCTTCTAAATTAACATATGTTTTCTTACCTCGTAAAAAACTTGTCCAGTTTTTTGTACGATTCTGTTTCGGAGAAAGGATCAAAACATTTGCGAGCTAATGTATTCGATGCAATATTGAAAGTTCCGTCCAAAACCTAAAGTGGAAAAATCATTTTATAAAGGACCAAGGTTTGAGCATAGCTGCCTTCTCTATCAGATCTCTGTCTATGGGTAAGTCTTCCTCATTCAACTCCTCTTCTTCTCTAAAATTAATAAACGATGCAGGCTATGGTCAGACCAAACATACTCGGGAATTATCCAAAATGGTATGCCGTTTACAAGTGGATTCAAAGCATGATTTCCCTTCTTTTCAATGATGTTTTCTGGATAATAAGCAGCACTGTTTGCTCAAAACTTGCAAATTTTTGTAAGATACCGTCGTCTTCCTCCAAAATAGTTCGGTCTTCTTTCGCCACTGGGACACAAAATACTTGGGATCGTGGAGTATCATCACAGTTTTGCCTGAACACACAACATCGTCGTCTTGAAGACATACAGAAAACGCAAGATTACGCTGTGGATTTTTCCAGAAACTTCTTGTCCTTCTTGACTTCACTTTTATTCTGCCAGTTTTTCTTCTTTCCAAACCAAGTGGCATACCGTGGATTCGGACGTATTGCCAAGAAGTATGCTTTACGTTCTCCAAAACCCATAGAGACACC